TTTTCCGGAAAAGCACTTTTTCCAGAAAAGCGTCCGTGGCCAATCTAGACACGCTTTTCCGCAAAAAAGCCCCGATCGTCATTTTCACGATCGGGACTTTTTTGCGGAAAACAGAACTATGCTGTCTATACAAAGACTTTTGCCTGAATGGGAGCAGCATAGTTTTTCCAGAAAAGCACTGATGATTTTACATGAGATCGTCAGTGCTTTTCCAGAAATTCAAGCGGCCAGTGTAGACAGCTGGCAAGTTTTTCCGGAAAATCATCTGATTTTCCAGAAAAACTTGCCAGTGTAGACACAGCCACTATGTCTCCTGATCTAATCCCTGGGCACTATATATACTTTCTTTGTTTTTAGGCAAATAAAGCAAATACCTTTAGTAGTAGTCATAACAAACAAATGTGGGTGAGGACTTATCAGTTCTTCAGTACCAGAAGAGTATCTAAGTTCTCCATAACACTTTCTGTAGTGCACCTAATGTTGCCTTCAATAATGTCACTTCTCCTCAGGTAAAGATTTAAATGTTTGATATTTTAAAAAAACTTTCTTCTGAGTGGCTGTATTTTTTCTTCCTCTTTCCTTTCCTCAACATGCCATATGTGATTTTTGTTTCTTGTATTAGCCTTGGCCATTTGCATTTTGATTTAAATTTTTGCCTTTTAATTACAATTAAAAAATCAAGCTGTTGGAGTTTGTTGGGATGGGATCTTAAAAAGCAAGTAAGGAAAACTAGAACTTGGCCCTACTTAATTGCATAATTCTTAACTCACATTGCTTAAGGTATCCTACTTGGGTAAGCAGGATTCCATCCCTAATTAATTAACAGAGGCAAAATGTGAGGATTTTCAGCTATGCCAAATTCAACCAAAGCCACAGGTATACTCCTGTATCTGGCTAAATATTGTTCTTTCAGTAATCATCATCCAACAGTATTTTTCATCAAAATCCAGAGAGCCACATGTCCCAAGTTTCAAAGCATAAAGATCAAATCAGGGAATTCCAAGAGGGAACAAAACAGAGAAAACAAATATTTTGAAAGTTGGACTAGCTCGTAAATTAGAAATTAGCAATGAAGTTACCTTTGAATCCACAATAAAGTGCTCCCATCTATACCTCGCTGCCTTGTCCTTATTGATTTTTTTAAATGTACTTTTACAGCCACCAGGGTCCCTAAGTGAAAAACAATTTAATGAGTTTTCCATTTCCAGAATCTTGCTTTTATTACAACAGGTTCTTTTTAGAAATGCAATAAATAGAGAATAAATGACAGTCAATCTCTGCTATGACATTTATCTTCACTTGTAAGGAGGAGATGGATAACTCTCAAGTGTTATAGCAGTGAGTGAATTACAGTCAGAGGTGAAGAGAAACATTCTGAAACCTTAGCTCTTATGTATTACAAACATACCATATGTGCAGGGAGGCTGACAGACTCACAGGACCTCTGGACAAGGCAGGGGAAGGGCAGCTCCATGGCACTTCAGGCAGAAGGGACAAGGCTGGGGCTAGTGTCTCCTAGGCAGCCTCAGCACT